CATCGTATTATATTAGATATAGAGAGACTTTTTCAATTCCACGCCACAGCACGTCTCTATTTCAGAATTCATACATTTACAATGCGATCAAATTATATAATTCTTTGGACCGCAGTTTAAAAGAAACCAATCCATTATCCAAATTCAAGAAAAAAGTGAAAGAAGTTCTTCTTGATCAGCAGCGAAATCGGTTGTAACCCATAAGTGTCATCATATTTTCCTTATGTATTTACTTGGATTATTCGTTATTGTATACAGGTGCCTATTAATTTTCAATAAATTCTTTTTTTTTTTTTTTTTTTTACATCTCGAATTGTTAAGGGGGTTAGATGGTAGAATAGATATATAATCTAAATCTCGCCTCCTGTAAGAATATTACAAATAAAAGACGTTAATTATTATTATTATTATTATTATTATTACTACTAAAAAATGGTCCTAAAATCCAAAAACTGGATACTGTTATGCGAAAAGCACTTACCGCAGCCTTAAAACTGCAAATAACTTTGCGATATTTGGCAACAGGACATTCTTTTGCAACTTTGGCATTTATGTACAGAGTACCGAAAAACACTATCTCAAATTTCATTAAAGAAGTATGCCAAGAAATATACAATCCTCTACAAGAATTTATGAAGGTAAGCACTAATAGAATATTTATTTAGTCAAGCTCACAAAATATTGTTAACATAAAGCATATTTTTTACAAAACAAATAATTTTTATGTATTTATATATTAGCAAATGCTTGATAAATAATGTCAGATATTTCTTCCGCAGCAAAAGATACAGCATAATTAGATTGTTCTACAAATTCAGGTGATGTCGGTGCTGAATTGTTCCAAATTTCTCGATTACTGTAGCCACTGTTCGGGGAGTGGGATGAAGGTGATCATGCTGTACAGGGTGTCCCAGAAGTCGACGTCAACCCAAAACCGGGTGATAGGCAAAGTCATAACAGCTATCAGAAAAATATTTATAAAAATTTTATGTATGTGTTTTGAAAATTATAGGTCTTTGAAAAAAATATAGAAATTTCACACCATACGGCAGTCTGTCAACTCTTGTTACTACAAATATTAACTTTTTTTGGATTTTATTTTTACAATGTAATGATGAATAATGCATCTTCAAACTGGTGTCTCAACCTTACTGCCAACTTTTCTCGTTCAGGAAAAATTGCCACTTATTTCCCAACCAAGTATTCCAAAGTAAAACTTTGCTCAACTTTAACAAGCTGTACTGGAAAAAAATTTACTACGAGAGTTTGGCAAGTAACCTTAAAAGTTGGCGCATTTAATAACGATTCCAAAATGGTATAACACTTAGAAGATTACTCGTTAACTTATGCACAATTTTTATTTGAAGAAAAACTGATGAAAATTTTTCAACATTTCCTAATTAAACAGCGATTATGAAAACGCACAAGGACCCTTAAGGATAACTGTTTGCACAACAGTGGGCGTCAAAATGCTGCTGATGATGATTTACCTTTACAGCAAATGCTCAAACTGTTTTCCTTCAGCCGCAATACACGCTCGACATCTTCTTAAAAAAGATCCGGTTATTAAACGAGCGAATCCACGGTTATTAACAAACTCAGCTGCTTCCAATAGTCTTTGCCGTAGCTCAGCTACATTTTGAATCGGCTTGAAATACACTTTTTCTTTTACAGTTCCCCAGTAAAAAAATCTAACGGATTCAAATCTGGTGACCGGGCTGGCCACGGTATTGTACCAGACCGCCCTATCCATCTGCCTGGAAAGTTTTGATCGAGATACTCTCTCACTGAGAGTGCATAGTGCGCTGGGCAGCCATCATGCTGAAACCACATGTCCCTGTAAATACTCAGTGGCACGTCCTCCAAAAAATTTTCTAAATGATTTTGCAAAAAACCTAAATAAACCTCAGCAGTCAAAGTCTCTGGGAACTCAAACGGACCGATTATTTTACCATTTAAAATTCCTGTCCAATGGTTTATCTTGAAGCAATATTGAGATTTATCTTCTCTCATCAAATGTGGGTTTGCTACGTGCCACTCGTGTAAGTTATGCAGGTTCATGTACCCATCTTTCTTAAATGAGGTCTCATCTGACCATAACATTTTTTCAAAGAATCGTGGATCTTCCCTGTGTCTTTCTAACATTGTGCGACAAAAAGCAGCTCGGGGCTCATAATCCCGGGGCAGAATAGCTTGAACACGCTGTACGTGGTATGGATGGAGCACGTTTATTTGCAAGATTCTATGGGCTGTACTTTTGGGCACACCTGTTTTTAGTTCTATTGCACGCACTGAAGTACTCGGGTCTTCTTCGACAGCTCATAGCACCACGTCTTCGTAAGGAAGGAAAGATCTTCCCTCACCGTGTGATTGGTTTGGTAGTTGGCCGTCTGAGAACAGTAAGCGTTGCATCTGCATTTCCCAAAAATGAGGTGCATGTTAGCATATTCTTGTACGGTGTACACGGACACAGCGGCACTGCACAATCACACTATCAAAGATAGTCTAAGGAAAACACATGTTGTTTTGAAGAGAAATTAAACAGTCGAAATCCAAATCACATGCGATCAACAGTCCAGTTCACGAATCCAAAATTAGTAACAGTACGAAATCAACAAGCACGAACATGTAAAGATGCGCAGTAAACGAAGGAGTACTGATCGGTATCAAAGTGTGCAATAGCAAGTAAGTGATGTGCTTCATCCATGCCGCATACAGCGTGTTCAACCTCTCCTGCCCCGGGATTATGAGCCCCGAGTTGCTTTTTGTCGCACAATGTTAGAAAGACACAGGAAAGATCCACAGTTCTTTGAAAAAATTTTATGGTCGGATGAGACCACATTTAAGAAAGATGTGTACATGAACCTGCATAACTTACACGAGTGGCATGTAGCAAACCCACATTTGATGAGAGAAGATAAATCTCAATATCGCTTCAAGATAAACCATTGGACATGAATTTTAAATGGTAAAATAATCGGTCCGTTTGAGTTCCCAGAGACTTTGACTGCTGAGGTTTATTTAGGTTTTTTGCAAAATCATTTAGAAAATTTATTGGAGATTATTATACTGAGTATTTACAGGGACATGTGGTTTCAGCATGATGGCTGCCCAGCGCACTATGCACTCTCAGTGAGAGAGTATCTCGATCAAAACTTTCCAGGCAGATGGATAGAGCGGTCTGGTACAATACCGTGGCCAGCCCGGTCACCAGATTTGAATCCGTTAGATTTTTTTTACTGGGGAACTGTAAAAGAAAAAGTGTATTTCAAGCCGATTCAAAATGTAGCTGAGCTACGGCAAAGACTATTGGAAGCAGCAGAGTTTGTTAATAACAGTGGATTCGCTCGTTTAATAACCCGATCTTTTTTAAGAAGATGTCGAGCGTGTATTGCGGCTGAAGGAAAACAGTTTGAGCATTTGCTGTAAAGGTAAATCATCATCAGCAGCATTTTGACGCCCACTGTTGTGCAAACAGTTATCCTTAAGGGTCCTTGTGCGTTTTCATAATCGCTGTTTAATTAGGAAATGTTGAAAAATTTTCATCAGTTTTTCTTCAAATAAAAATTGTGCATAAGTTAACGAGTAATCTTCTAAGTGTTATACCATTTTGGAATCGTTATTAAATGCGCCAACTTTTAAGGTTACTTGCCAAACTCTCGTTGTAAATTTTTTTCCAGTACAGCTAGTTAAAGTTGAGCAAAGTTTTACTTTGGAATACTTGGTTGGGAAATAAGTGGCAATTTTTCCTGAACGAGAAAAGTTGGCAGTAAGGTTGAGACACCAGTTTGAAGATGCATTATTCATCATTACATTGTAAAAATAAAATCCAAAAAAAGTTAATATTTGTAGTAACAGGAGTTGACAGACTGCCGTAGGATGTGACATTTCTATATCTTTTTCAAAGACCTATAATTTTCAAAACACATACATAAAATTTTTTGAATATTTTTCTGATAGCTGTTATGACTTTGCCTATCACCCGGTTTCGGCTTGACGTCGACTTCTGGAATTGTATTTTTTCTTGACAAGAAAGTGCATTAAGGAGCGGTAGCTGTCTCAGCTGAATGGCAATAAGTTGGGCAAATGCATCAAATTCGTCTCTCGAAGCCTTTTGATTTTGTTGCGATACTTTATCAAGTTTATCTATTCCATTGTTAATGGCAGATATATCATCATTTATCACAGCTTTGCGCTTTTGGCTTCGTCAAGGACGAAATTGTGAAGATGTACTTTTTGGAGTTATTGACGCACCTGTATTATTATCAACAGGCTCAGTTTCAACTGCAGGAAAACTCAATTCGTCATGTATTTCCGTTTGCGGCTCTTCTTCATTTTCATTATTGGATAAAATCTGGAACAAAATGTTTCAATGATAAATAATGTCAGATGTTTCATGTTTCAGATCATTATGTATTTTTATTGTTGCAGGTACCACAAACAGAAGAAGAATGGAAAGAAATTCAAAATAATTTCTATTGCCGATGGAATTTCCCAAATCGCTGCAGGGTCCTGGATGTCAAACATATTATTATACGTAATGCACCCCATAGTGGATCAGAATATTTTAATTATAAAGGCACCTTTACTATTATTTTATTTGCATCTGTTGATGAGAATTATTCTTTTCGCTACAATGATGTGAGTACAAAAGGCCGTACCAGTGATGCAGCAGTTTTTTCAAATTCATCTCTAAACGCAGCACTGCAAGCGAATCTGTTAAATTTTCCAAAAAATGGAGTATTTGTCGCTGATGACGCTTTTCCGCTCAAAACGTTCATTTTAGAACCATACGGAAGAACCACGTGCCTATCCAGAAAACAAAAAAATTTTAATTACCGCCTATTTAGGGCACGCCGTATCGTGGAGAATGCATTCGGGATTTTGGCTTCGAGACTTAGAATATTTGAAAAATCGATACCTCTTGCGATTGATAAGGTGGATATACTGGTTAAAACAGCGTGTGCATTACACAATTGGCTAAGAACTACCTCGAGTGAAAAATACACGGAAATGGGCGCCTTGGACGTAGAGGACTTTAATGCAGCTAGGATTATACCAGGTTCTTGGAGATCAGAAATTCATGAAGCAAATGGTTTACAGGCATTACGAAATAACGTTGGGGCTCGTAATTACACATAAGAAGCTGCTAAGAAACGTGACAGATATGCAGATTAATTTATAAATCGTGGGGCTGTACCATGGCAAGACCAATGATATATGACGCTCAATATTCTGACAATATATTCCTATTTCGATATGAATCTTAATTTTTATGTAAGATATAATTAAAAAGTTTCTAGCAAAAATCTAACTATTAATGATACTTACCAAATTTGATGAGCTATCTCTATGTGTTGACACGCCTCGCAAAAATTCATCCACTCTTTTAAACCAGAATAACTTAACGATAAAGTTTGAATCGATCAATCTTTTGTAGAATCCACAAAAGTTGACCGATTAAAATTGAAACATATGTTCTCACAGCTATTCTCATACGATTCTAGTTGATCCACTAAAGTTGATCAACTAAAATCGAACCGTCAGAATGCGCCTTAACCGTGTCGAGCTTTGTACATCCAGAACTGGCTGCTAAGACCGCTGCTCTATCCCTAGGGTGTCGAGATTGTGGTATAATTTACAAGAGGAGGCTTTTCCCAGTTCACTAACCTTAGGCAGTTCAAAAATGGGATGAATTAAGTTTCTTTGGGATCCTCATAGCAGCCGCGGTGCCTTGTCTGCGCGGTTGCTTCGGTGTAAGTAAAAACCTTAGCATACAAAAACGACAATGCTTGTTTTGTAAAGAATAACAATTTCTATAAGAAAGGTCTTTCACGTTTTTTCGTCACCTTCATGGTTCTTGTTGGAGGTGAGTCCAAAATTCGTATCAAACAGTCGAACGGCATATTCCGCAAGCTACGTACGTTGTCCACGTGTCAGCATACAGTATGCTTTCGCGTGTAGATGGTTTCACAAGTCATTATCTATAATCAAGAATACTATACTAAGTGACATATAAATCCGAACACCCAGTTTGAATGGTTTTATTTTAATAAAATTTTGTATAAGTACTTAATGAAGCATAATAAGTAAATGATAAAAATTTCAAAATGATTGCACTGCTTTAAAGCCCTTTGACCTTTAATAATGTGTGGATGCACCCTGATGTGCTACGCATTCTCCAACGTGCCTAGGCATGCTTCTGATCAGGTGGTCAATGTCCTCCTGTGGTATCTCATTCCAGGCAACCACCAACTCCTCTCGAAGTGCTTCTAGAGTCTGAGGAGGACGTTGCAAATTGAGCAATCTCCTACCCATCATATCCCACACGTGCTCAATTGGGGATAAGTCGGGAGATCTTGGTGGCCATGGTAACAATGTGACATCATTATGTTGAAAGAAGTCTATTGTGACTCTTGCAACATGTGGTCGGGCATTATCTTGTTGGAAAGTTGGATCTGCCAGGGTGCCAAGATAGGGTAAAAGATGTGGTTCTAGAACTTCGTGGATATAACGCTGCGCGTTCATGTTACCTCTGATGAAGATTAAAGGTGACCTGGAACCATAAGCTATAGCACCCCAAACCATAACTCCAACAGTGTGATGAACATGTCTTTCAACAAAAAACTATGGATTCCTCCTTTCACCACGTCGCCTTCTAACCCTTACACCGACGTAATCGCCTTGAGTGGTGCAGACAACGGTCACTCTGGGATCAGGAATGGAACAGTATTGTCTTTAGTGACGAGCCTCGATTTTGTTTAGGCATGCACGATGGTCGTGCCAGGGCTAGAAGGCGACGTGGTGAAAGGCGGAATCCACAGTTTTTTGTTGAAAGACATGTTCATCACACTGTTGGAGTTATGGTTTGGGGTGCTATAGCTTATGGTTCCAGGTCACCTTTAATCTTCATCAGAGGTAACATGAACGCGCAGCGTTATATCCACGAAGTTCTAGAACCCCATCTTTTACCATATCTTGACACCCTGGCAGGTCCAACTTTCCAACAAGATAATGCCCGACCACATGTTGCAAGAGTCACAATAGACTTCTTTCAACATAGTGATGTCACATTGTTACCATGGCCACCAAGATCTCCCGACTTATCCCCAATTGAACAAGTGTGGGATATGATGGGTAGGAGATTGCTCAATTTGCAACGTCCTCCTCAGACTCTAGAAGCACTTCGAGACGAGTTGGTGGTTGCCTGGAATGAGATACCACAGGAGGACATTGACCACCTGATCAGAAGCATGCCTAGGCGCGTTGGAGAATGCGTAGCAAATCAGGGTGCATCCACACATTATTAAAGGTCAAAGGGCTTTAAAGCAGTGCAATCATTTTGAAATTTTTATCATTTACTTATTATGCTTCATAAAGTACTTATACAAAATTTTATTAAAATAAAACCATTTAAACTGGGTGTTCGGATTTATATGTCACTTAGTATATTTTGCAATAAATCCATTTTTGTACTACCACGACTAAGGATATCAATAAATGTAACATATTCAGACAATTTCTGTTGACTTGATCACGAAAATGCAAATAACTCACTTTCATCAGCCTCACATTGACTATATTGCCACTGCGAAGCCTCAGCAACCACTGCATCGATGTAAAGGGAGTGATGCCTTATTTACTCCATCTACACTTCCATTGAAATCGCTGCAACATTTAGTAAAATTACGCAGATACAAAATCGCTAATATACAGAGTAATGGAAGTGAGTGACAGGATGTTTATTATGAAAACATCACAAATTATCAAAAAGAATTAAATTTTTCTTACTTACATGTGGTATTAAAAAATGGATTTACATTAAAATGATATTCTTGATCGTAGACAATGATTATCAAGTTATCCCACGTAAGATAATAATAATAATCCATCGTTATTATTTTTCGTAAACAAAGAAATTCTGATTTAATACAAATACAAAGGTAGCGAAGTCTAGCTAATAGCTATTCTATTTAATCACTGCAGGCTATCGCCCAAATAAATGTACAATCAAGCTAGAATTAGACTAAAGAATCGATGACGTAGACAAAAAAAATATATGGCAAATGAAGTTTTCCAGAAAGAGTTGAGCAGCGCAGACGTTCGCAAAGAAAGTTATTACGCTTGAAACTTTTCACTACCCTACAGAATTTACAACGACAGGAGCAATAAATTTTATGTTGGAAAGAGATCTAACCACTTTTGATATCTACCTATAACTGTCTATAAACTGTAATAAGGAAATAACATAAAATAGAAGTTAAAAAGTACTAACATTGATCCTATTGCATATCAAACCGAGAAAGGTTGTTCATGATTAGAAGCTTGAATTATCCTGAAAGCTGACTATACATCCTGGTCGCAGTATATACGAACGGTCTTTGGAGTATGGCGGTCTTGTGCTAAGGAGCTGTGTAGCTCAATTTTGATCTAACATTCAGATGATGAGCATCTTTGCGAGGTATGAAATGTTTAATTAGACCTGGAAGATTTGAATTATTGACCAATTAATGTGCAAAGTTACTAGCGTAAACCACGGAATCTTCTTTTTCGCGCCTAGTATCAGTATCCTCAATTCCTTATGTCTAACGTAGTTACGCTCTTGATTGATTCTTTTGAATTTTTGCAAGGCCTTGTCAAAGATGGATAAAGCCTCACACACACCGAAAATCCAACGCCGAGCAAACGAATGCAAGCACCTGTGACGTTGGCCTTTGTTGTTAGAAAGTATTGGAATGCGCTCGTACACACATTTAGTTTCGAATTAGACCGCGTCGGGTTAAGTTCGGTGCTAATGTCGAGCGACGAAGACGATTTACTGCTGGCGAGTGCGGAGTTTTTAATAATAAAGTCTGTAATATCCAGGAAAGGAATAAACGGCCTAGACAAAAATAGGGCCTTGTATAGTGGCAGCCACTTACTAGAGGAACTTTAAAGTGAAGGTGGTGGGCATTTTAAGAACTTCCCTCATCGAATGCGAACAAACGACAAAATACTAAAGGCGCAACAAATCTTGTCCAGATCAAATCAAACCTCCCTTTGATGTACAGATCAAGGTGCGAACGCAATCGAACGCCAACGCTGACCTTGGAAACCGTTGTCTTATGTTGACTCGCGACGTACACACTTTCAAATTTGTAACCACACGTGCGTTGGAGTCTTGGTCCGTCCGCGGCTTAACGTGAACAACGTACGTAGCGTGCGGAGGACGCATCGCGATTGTTTTTTATAGCAAATTTTATTCTCTACAACAAAAAGATAGTAGTGTTTCATACTCGTTATTCTTAGTTTATAGGCGAATATCTCATTTCATGTACGTTTAGCCTTAAATTTCTCGCTGAATTTTTATAGCAGCAAAGTGATAGAGAATTCGATTCCCTACAAAATACAGTGGAATCCACTTATGATCAACTTGCTTATAATGGAAACCCGTATATATTGGATACAATTTAAGGTCTTATAAATAATTGCGTGTAAAATCCTCGAATATTATAGACTCGCTTAAAATAGACCCTCACTTGTAGCGGACTATTTTAATCCATTATATGCGAGCTATTTTGGTAGTTCCCCGAAGCAGATTTAGCTGAAGCTATCGTTTACGGCGGTTTGGCTTCGCAGTTTGCATTCAAACTTGGCCACCAGTGTTATACTGTATTTATTACAATTATAAACATGTGCGATATGTGCATTCACTTTACACTAAAAGTTCACAATAATTAGTGAGCTTGAGCATGGCTCGTCTCAAGCAAATATATGTGCTCGTATGGCTTTAAAAAATCCATTGGGTCAAATACTTGAAATGACTGGAAATCAAATAGTCAAAAGAAAAAAATGCGGCTATCGCTGCATCCCCAAGTCGATGATATGCTGTTCATGGTTTCAACAAAGGCGTGCTAATAATTTTCCAATAAGTGGACCTATGCTACATATAAAAGCTAAAGAATTTGTGAAATTGCCTGGAGATTACTTCAAGTGTACTTCCAGTTGGGTAGACAGGTTTAAGAAAAGACATAACATTGTTTTTGTAGAAATTTGTGGCGAGTCAGCTTCAGTTGACAAGAACGTTACCAATGACTGGATTTCTCAAGTTTGGCCCATAATATCCAGTGATTATTCAGATGATAACATATTCAATACATATG